TCCGAATCCGAATCCGATGGCAATTTTTAAATCCGAATCCGAATCCGAATCCGATGGCTATTTTGAATCCGATCCGAATCCGAATCCGATGGCAATTTTTGAATCCGAATCCGAATCCGAATCCGATGGCTATTTTGAATCCGATCCGAATCCGAATCCGATGGCAATTTTTGAATCCGAATCCGAATCCGAATCCGATGGCTATTTTGAATCCGATCCGAATCCGAATCCAATCGGATTCGGATCGGATCAGATTCGGATTATCGGATCCGACGCACAGCACTACTGCGGGTACATGTAATAATTATACTAGCCATTTCCCGCATGACTTCGTTTTTGTGAAACGTTTGAAATTTCGTCAGTTTGAATTAACCTGACTTTGCTGACAGGCAATCATGTCTTTGTAGGCACACTTGTTAGACCATTTAACCACATAGAGCATATATGGGGGAGGAATGATGGTTGGTATATGGTGGCTCGATCACTGAAAAAACACGCTCATATAGATGCATGCACATGCAGGCACTCGCGCACGCGCTCGTGATATAGAATTTTAGATGCTCTATTGGTTAAATATTTGGTAATAAGTAACTCGGTAACTCGATTTTTTAGCACTGTGCGCCAATGTGTTGGCCACCCAAGATCAAAGATGCTGCCATGCCTAAAGTGCGCTCTTCAAGTTCGCTGTCAACATCATCAGACGAAGGACTGGAGGCGTCGCCTAAGATGACCAAAGAGAGAAGGTCGACACGTCGCGACGTGATGGCCAATCAGTTCTCGCTTGCCGACGAGCTACAGATGGCTGGTTGTGCCACCTGGTCCCCGAAAGGAAAGGTACTGTGGTGAAGTTTCATGGCGACTATTTTGACAGTTGTGAACATCTGTGGTCGTGGTATGCTTGTGTGTAGTGCATGGTACCAGAGCTCAGGGTGAGGCGTAATTGTGCTCCTTTCCTTTCTTATAAGGCATTAGTTTTTGTTTGAAATCCATTATTTTTATGAGATTGAATCCAAAATCTCGATGACCTCAAATTACTACAAAAGGGGCATTTTACTTACTGATCAATCGCTTTGAAAACGTACGCTGAGACTGCTGCTTGAGTTTGGAACTTTTACCAGTCTCCTTGTCTTTTGTTGCAAACATATCTGAGCTGGTTTTTGCTTTTCTTAACAAAAGACACTGAAGTTGAGGCTGCAGAACTCGGATCTGCACCAGTCGTACCTTCACGCGGACAACAAGCTGCTGTGTGAAGACTCCAGTCCTGACGAGAAGCCGCAGTGGATGCACCGGCGCCGCTCCAGACACACGTCCCAGTCTTCCTCCTCACCTTCCCCCCGGCACGACTCGTCGGAATACAGTGGTGAGTCCACTCTTCCTCCTCACCTTTCCATCTGTCGTGACAAGTCAGAGTGCATTCCACTCTTCCTTCTCGCCTTTACCTCTGTCGTGACAAGTCAGAGTGCATTCCACTCTTCCTTCTCACCTTTCCCTCTGTCGTGACAAGTCAGAGTGCATTCCACTCTTCCTTCTCGCCTTTACCTCTGTCGTGACAAGTGAGAGTGCATTCCACTCTTCCTTCTCGCCTTTACCTCTGTCGTGACAAGTCAGGGTGCAGCCGTAGTCCCACGCTTCTTCCACACCTTCCTCTTGGCACGACTTGTCAGAGTACAGCGTTGAGTTCCACTCTTCCTCTTGCATTCTGTCTGCCAGGACTTGTCAAAATACAGCACTCGGTTCCACTCTTCTTTCTTGCATTCCTTCTGGCATGAATGATTGTCAGAATACAGCGGTGAGTCCCAGCCTGCTTCTTCGTCTTCCACCAGAGAAGAGTCTTCGCTTACTGCCTTATTCTTAATTGCCTGGACGTGCACGTCCTTGGTGGATGGATTTCAGTAGTGATGGAGCGATTTAGTTCCACTGCTTGCCACCTGTTGGAATGTCACATTCGCTTTTTTTCGCAGGCGATGTATCGACGTGCAGCATTGCGAGTGTATCGCTGTCGGGCCTCAAAGCGACGCACAGAGGTCTCTATCGCTTCGTTCCCCGGCACAGCGACGAGGTGGAAATAGAGATCGGTGATCTGATACTTGTGGAGAAGGAGGACGATGACCTCTGGTGCACAGGTATTGTCTCTTAACTCGTGCTTCAAAATAACAAAATGAAAATCTGCAGTCAAGCAGTGTAGAAGTATATGGTCTGGCTGTTGCACTGACGTACTACAGTACTAGTAATACTGCTACTGGTAACATCTTGCTGTTTCTGATGAAGAGTTCCGTTTCCATTAACTCAGGACTGTGTTTAAAGGAGGGATAGTAATATGCATGACCACCCTATAGCACCTGTATCATTGCGCTTCTGCAGGTGTGAATTTTAGGACCGAGAAAAAGGGGATATTTCCATTTGCTTACGCAGTTGATTTGGAGTACAGTCTAGATCCAGGTACGTGCTTGCTCGTTGATGAACCGACAATGACTGTAGTTGGTGTATGCATTTGCCTAACATCCTATGGCTATGACGTGCGATATTAGGTTTTGGCTTTGAGTAAAACTGTAAAGAATGTACATGCTCATCGGGGGTGTCCTGACAAATATACGTCGGGATGTCGGCTGTGAGGTCCTTATCATAAATTTTAATTAATGAATAAATAAATCAATAAACAATAAAGAAATATTTAATAAATATATTAATGAATAAATAACTCGTTAATTCATTTATCAGATGCGAACACGCCTGCCCCCGCAAAGACGGACACGGAAAACTTCCCGTTGAAGTTCCTCGGCTCGGTCGGCGTCTCCTGTCACAAGGGCAACCAGGTGCTCTGTCAGGCGATCACCAAGGTCAGTGGCTTCATCTTCTCAAGGTCGGATATCTCATTCGGCTCACGAGCGAGTGTTGCTTTACTGCATGAGGAGGCAGCATCTGTTGCTATGGAGTTGCTTCCGATATGCTTTCATTTTGCGCTGTATCTGTCTTTTTGTTGTGTAGTTGTGTTTCCGAGGTGTCTAATTTCTCGTGGCACGGATGCGTGGATTTGTAAATTAACACTAATACAGGTAAATGCGATAGCAATCGCATTAATCATGATCATGTATGGCTGCGCATTAATGTGCATTAGCGTTAAGAAACTTCTTGATTTTGCTCGTATCTGGGATGAGAATTTCTACATGGAAATTCAGATTCTTTAGCACTCTGGTTGTGGCTAGCGGCATGCACATGTGGCTACATTACTCAGGTAGAAATAGTAGTGCTAGCAGTAGCAGCAGCATTACCATCAGCAGCAGTAGAATCTTTATCACCATAAAACTTAGTGTTTAAGTAAATTTGAGCGAAGCTTTTAGAAAAAATCTTTTAGGACAAGTATTTCTTTACAAATATTAGTTGATCGCCATCTTAAGTGAACGAAAATTGTTTTGCTCAGATTGCGCAGACACGCAAGAACCTGCCGGGCGCGCCGCCGGCGCCATATTGTATCCTGGAAGTGAGTCAGCATGGCCTGCGAATGGTTGACAAGATGGGGCAGGACTCGCGGCTAGATGGCAGCACCGCTGCCGAGCGGCTCAAGTTCAAGCTGGAGCGGATGTTCGGCAAGCAGCGGGTGAGTCTCACGTCAAGCGTTGCCGTGTCTCGCCAACATGGTTACAGTTTGCGGGGTTCTAATCTGACTACGAACCTTAAAAAAAACTACAAATCTTACTACGCATGTGCCGCTGATTGTCCTCGGCATTTTTTGCTGTGCCGCGAAAATTGTAAGATGTTCATGGCGATATCTGCGATGATTCCCGTACTGGTTTGCATGAGTGCCCTCTTTACGAATTATATATTGTGTGCGTATCCTTGCCTGTCCTGCATAATAACAAGCAGGAAGTTGCCTTGGTGTCTTTCACTTGAGGGAAATGTTTGCTTTGGCACCCTTCCAACTTGCTGAGGTGTCCTGACATATGTCTAATTAAGACCGAGGGAACGATTACTTTGTCCTAAAAGGTTTTTAATTCTGTTTTTGCACGTGTGTTCTAGGGTGGCCAGCAACTGATGTGTGAGGAACCTCACCATGACCACTTTTTCAGTCTGAAAAACATCTCCTTCTGTGGATATCACCCAAAAAATCACAGGTGAGATCTGTTCTAGTATTTTCTATTGTTAACAGGCATTCTCGAATAACATTTCTAATAACAAATCTGTATATATACGTTGTGTGGATGTTATTGGGGGGGGGGGAAGTACAGAGTGGGGTTGGCTTAGAAATTATCCTTAGTTGGACAAGCACAATCGTTCCCTAGCACTACTTTCCACCAGTCCACAGCCCTTAGAAGTAATGGAGTCATGATGCTGTGGTCTCTACTGGAAACTAGTGTAATCTCTCAAATCCCATTAGGAATCGTGTGTTGACTAGCGCAGACGTCAGTTAGACCATGCCAGAGTAGTGTATGTGGGATAACTGGAGGTGTCGTATGTACACACTGATCTGTGTTGAAAGCAATGTATTGATTACTAAAGTCGAGGCGCGTAGCAGGATGTCATTTTAGCAGCAATTACGGTGTACACTACAGTAGTAAACTTAATGATTCCTTCGCTGTGAAACCCCAAAATACTGAAACCCTTGTCATCATGGTGCCATCGGAAGCGGTACACAGAAAGTAGGGGCTGCATGGGTGGGCTGGCCATGGAGATTCTCTAGTTCCTTTTGTTACATTCTTCCTATAAATTGTTGCCACTGATATTTTTGCGATGCAACATCGCATACTGTATGTTGATTTTTGATAATGACTATCCACCCAAATTTATTAACCAATTGCACAAACTTTCCATCGCTTTAAAAATGCTTAATTTGTTTTGCTCAGCTGCACAAACTTGATCGTTTTTTGTTCAACCAATTCCTAATTTATTCATTGTCTAATTTGGCAAACTCCACCACTCTCCATTATTAAATTCTAGCTGCTTGGAGTTGATATTAAACTAAGTTTAATTTCAAATTAATAATTTATAATAAATATATTTTAATATTATATGAATAATTATAATAAAATTTAATTATTATGAAAAATATATAAATATATTTTATATAATATAAGTTTTTTTGATTTGAACTAAACTTACTATCGCGACCATTAGCCGTCGCGCTGCGCGTTGCCGGGATGCTCACTGTCGCGATTTCCGCAGGTATTTTGGCTTTATCACGAAGCATCCGACGGAGTCGCGCTTCGCCTGCCACGTCTACCTGGGAGATGGCACGACGAAGCCCGTCGCCGAGGCGATCGGCCGAGCGTTCCAGCGCTTCTACCAGGAGTACCGCGTCTACATGGCTCAGTCGCATCCCACCGTCGACATCTACATGGACTGATGACGCACAGACCGGCAGGCTATGTTGTGAGGTTGAGGGTGGGGGTGGGAGGGTGGAAGAATTGTGTGTGGGGGGGGGGGGTGCTAGAGCTGTGGGAGAGAAGATTGTCAGCTGTAGGAAGCTGTAGACTGCAAGTTGTATATGTGGGGGGAGGGTGTGTGTGCTGAAAGCTCTATGGATGTGGGAGCGTGTGCTGAAAACTGTGTGGATGTGGGAAGGTGCACTACATACAAGTTGTGTGTGTGTGGGGGGGGGGGTAAAGGGTCTTTAAACACCATTAATGATGGGGTAATTTCCACAAGCTGTTAGTGTAAGGGTGTAAGCAGTGTTAATAAGTAGAGGGAACAGCGTGCAAAAGCACTAAGGCTAGAGGTGGAGTATGATATATTAATGGATCAAGAAAATTTAGATTTAGATGTTCTGCCCTCACTGCGTTAATTCGGGCGTAAGATGCACGTTCCACCAAACGTGTGTGGAAGTGGGGGAAAGGGATTCACATGCAGAGTACGTGAAAGCCGGATATATACTTCAGCATCTGTGGAGTGGGAGGCGGTGCAGTCTTTGATCTCCTGTTTGGAGGAGTGGGGGGGGGTTGTATGTTGCTGCTGTGTCCTTCATGTGCTTGGCCCGTATCACTTGACTTGTAGAACTGCTGTGAGCTATGAGCAGTGTTCGCTTTTGTGAGTTTGGTCGCACTTACTACAGGACGTCCGTCGTGTCGAAAAAAACGTCTTCCTCTTGAAACAAAACGAAGTCTATGACGTGATGGAATGCGCAAAGATTTCTGCAACAGTGGCATGAATGTTCTGTCACGACTCACAGAAGGGACGTTCATTACCAGCGTGACTCGAAAGTTCCCGATTTAAGATTTTCAGTATTGTTTCTTAACGGTTATCGCTTGAAATTTCGTACGCTCGTCAGGCATTTCCTTGGTCGTCGGCCAAGGAAGTCGCTCTTCCTGTCGCACTTCAGTCTCTATGTTTCAGCTCTAGTCGCCACGTAACAAGTATCGCTCCTCTTTGAGCGCTCGTTTTTTCTTTACACTCGTATTAAATATATTATTTACTAGGTGTTTACATCTCGAATTAAGGGCAACTGGTTTTGCTTCAATGTATGCGTGTGGGGATGCTGAGCCTAGCTGCGGTCGCATGTATTTTTATTACAAAAAAAAACAAGTTTGACACGCACAGAAGGGGTTTTGTTAGAAGAGGGTACGTACTGCCAGGTAGCTGATGTGTACTCGGGCTTCCTGCCTTGTGGGCATGTTCAGCAGCTTCCCTGGTGCTCCTTACTGATTACTCACGTAAATAAATCACACTCCGTAAAACTCGGTCAACGAACACGTCGAGAAAACGTGCAGTCTGGCAATGGACGCCATCACTTACGACGTATGCTGGGAGAACAATATATTGCTTCCGATGTTCCGACGTGTGTGCTTGCTCACCCGGGTCACGTTTACCTAGCGCTGGATTGGTTGTGACCGTCGTTAGATCGGTCATGGTTGGCACTAGCCATTGATTGCAACTAAGCCTGCTGGCGTGACCGTCTGCTTCCGTACCAATTTGCGCAACCCGATGTGTTTGCTGTGGCTTTGTGTTACGCATTCGATGCATTATCGAATGTTTGTAAAGCTGAGTTATGATGATGGATGGATGGATGCAGGAATCCCGTGATTTTACGTTTGACATGGATAGAGGCAGGGTAAATGTATTTTTATGCCGAATATTAAGTTCTTTTGAGCATGCGATGGGGGACGGGAGAACATTGAAAGTATTACTTATATTTTTAATTGCTCATTTATTTGTTTATCGATTGATTTAGAAAAAGGTTTTTTTCAGAGGAAAGCACTGCTGCAACGTTTGAAATATTAGAATCGATTCTGTTATTGTTTGAAGCATATTTTGCACCATTTATACGTGGTTTTTTAGTCCGCTGTTCCGTATCATTTGTGATGTTTCTACTTTACATTATATTTTACGATGCATATTTTTTTGCAGCCGTATACGCTGTATCGTCCGTAGTTGGATATGATTTGTGATATGAAGCAGTGCGTGTTTGAATCCGTCTGATGCTACGAGGATCCTTCTGTGATGATTTTTCGTTGCAATTCTGTATCAGTATTACCACACAGACTAGTTAGTGCTCACGAGCGGCTGTTATAAGGGTTGAGATGGTAGAGAGCTGGGTTATCATTATATTACTGTGCATATTACTACTCCTACGTCTAGTCTCGCGCAATTCAATATGCATTAGACTTATTCCAGCTTTTCATGTTTTGACGTGGTATTATATTCGCTGTGATAATTGTTTGCTTACATTTTCTAGGATCAGGGTTCAGAATTTTGTGCGAGCGTGTCGGATGGTAACGCCAATGAACGATTTTGGGCAGTGATCCCAACCAGAATTTTAGGTAGGAGTAGGAAGAGGAAAATCTGTGATTCGCCAGAGTTGATTTAAAACCCTGATGCCTATAATTATCATATTTATATTGTTATGTTTTGTTCTCCATCCAGGGAATAGGGTTATATTACTAATTTACCAATAATTATAATATAATTATACTATATATTAGTGCATTCCGTTACATATATGGGCAGTATGTGATATGAATTTAGTGTTTTATTATAGTTGTTTGCACGCAAACTTCAGTAGGCCTGTTGCTGTCTGCACATTACGTTTGCAAAGATATAATAATGGATGTAATTATAGCACCATATTTACATTGTAATTAGTCACGTTTGTTGGTTGTTGGATTATCAAATCATTTAGTATTACGTCGTTCGAACGCCAACGAAGTGACGCTTGTGAATGAGTTATGTACAGCAAGAGAATAACATTTGTGCGGCTATATCCAAATTCGAGATGTATAAATTAAATATCAGGATAGGAATACGGTTATTCTCTCGTTGTATGTCATGCTGGTATTGCATACAGAAGTGTAGCTGTAAGAATGAAATGATGGACTGATGAATACGGGTAGAGGGATGCCGAGGAAAACCTCTGCTGCCGAGTTTGTGCAGTCAGTGGTAGCTTATGTACGTGACCAACTTACGCACGAACCTTCCTATGGGTTGTGAGAAAAATTTTGCTGTTTCCCCCAATCACGTTGTGTGGAAAGAATCATTTGCATTCTGTAATAGTCATATATGTATATTATATATATATATATATATATATATATATATATACACACATACATACATGGCTAGTAAACTTCATACGTTTCGTCAATGATGCACTTATACGTGCACTTGGTTGGTTGTGTGCTATAGGTGAGAATGGGAACTCATTTTCGCTGATCACCGTCACACCACTGAATAAGGGATGCAAATATGCAGATACGTCCAAAACGCATTTCGGCAATTATCACATGAATTGGGCACAACTAAGTTACTCGGAATCATCGTTTAGGGCTCCATCACGGTAACCTTTGGAGTGTTGTTTACGTATGAACTAGCTATTTACCTGTATACATGTGTACCTATTGTGCTCTCCCTTGTTGCAAAGCGAATAGCTACACAGGTGAAGCTACGTATGAACGTGAAATATATTGAGGTTTAACAATGGAGCAGGCAATTCGAACGTGTTGCGAAACGATGTACCATATCTCTATAATGTGCATGTTACCACGACGTACACGAAAATCATTAAAAAACGACGATCAGTCACAAACTTTTTTCGACGAGTTTTTATTCCCCTCAAGAATTATTGGCCAGTCAACACAAAACCACGATCGGACACGAATCAGCTTTGGCACACACGCGTTGGCCCGCGGTCAAGCGCAAACACATGCGGTTCGGAGATCGAAACGTATAGGAAACTCGTTGATCCGGAATAAATGTGCAACGTCCTATCAACTAAGTTGTTATTAACTGTATGCCAACCATCAACATGATTATTTTCCACTTGATAAATTACCCCGTGCTTTTCTTAAATAAATGTTTAGTATGATATTAAGACGAAATAACAATACGCACCCTCACAAAGGAAAAAAAGGTGTTAACAGTACATTACAAAACGACGTTCTACGGGCAACTTCATGCAGCGTCGGTGAAACTTGCATAAATCGATATTGGGACGTGGAAGAGACCTAGTAGCACTTGACAGTGACAACACAGAGCATGGCGCGAAATCGGAAGACTGGCATCGAGTATTAATTAACCACTAATTACAACTGTGAAGCTCGTGGATGTTTGCATTGCATCTCTCCTACTTCTGCCTCTCTATCTCTCCTCCATTTCTCTCACTTCATCTCTCCCATATATTTCTCAACATCCTATTTCTCTGCTACGCTAGATAGCCTATGCCATAGTTGAATGCATTGTTCCACAAGAGTTGCCAACCCATCTGCACGTGGTAGCAACCATTTTTCGTTGCTTGGCGAATTCATTACTCGAACACTGAGACGAGCCGTGCAGTTATACACACTGCTTAATAGTATTTGCATTTTTTCCATGCATCTAGGAATACCCTAAGTCTCGTCGTCGTGACATTTAAAAATACGGGTCAACCTCACCGGACACCTAAACCGGACACCACAATAACCCATGCTAAATTCCCACCTCGCCTACTACACGAATACGAAAACAAAAACAAAATATCTCTCGTTGTGTCTTCTGCTTGAAACGCTTTCCTTGCATTCGATTTCAGGTGGGATCAACTATCGTTACACGACTAAATAACTTACTGGAGGCAAGTTTATTCACGTGTGATGCAGTAACTCTCACAGTTGGCTCGTTCGTGCACGACTACATAACGACACAGGCCTAATTTCATTTACCTCATGCCGAGGGGAAAACAAGGACAGCGTTCTATTGGCAAAGAGTTAAATTTTCCTATCGTCAACTTGTGTTTTCTGTTTTATCCCTTCTCGTGTGGTAGACGCACGGTTCCTTTACAATCAACGACTTGAATGCTTTTCCTTGCAGATCTCGCCGTCTCACGATTCACGCAAGTGGCGCGAATCGCAGACAGAGCAACCGTAAACTGCCGACTCCAGCGTTTAGTTTCATGATTGATGCCTTGATCTGAATTCTTAGCTTTGGGACTGCTATCGCCCTGCCTTAGTAGTTCATGCGGTAGTTGTTGCATTCAATCGACAGTTGCTATTTAATCCGTATGTATCTTTAAGTACCTTTGCAAAAAGCTGCCGAAGGTGTAAAGGTTCCATGCGTATATCAAACAAGAAGATAGCTAGCCATCATCATGGCAACTAGCCATTGAAACCAAACTCCTTGGCATCATCTTCGGTGATGTCGCCATAGCGCCAGAGGTTGATCTACGAGTGAAAAAGGAAATGACAATCATAAACACCTACTGCTCAGTGAACGAGGTCACATGAAACACGTCATTCAACGTGCTATAGAATCTGATGCACTTATTATGGCACGTGGTTTATGAGGTTGAAGGTCTCACATTTACTGTTCATGCAGCCCCACTCCACTCCCATGTATGTAGTGTGTATCTGCGTGTGCCTCTAAAGATGGTATATGTGTGTATTCATGTATGTGAATAGACAATGCAGCACCTTCACCACAGTATTGATATATTCAGTGCTCCATTGTGTTTATTTGCTTTTTTTATTTCACGGTTTTACAACAAAACATGATTGAATGTGCACACGCATTTACAAGATGCTACTGTGAGCTAGTGGCATTTTAATTATGCCATACCAATCTCTAGAGAGTCTTATCAAGTGTGTAAGATACTTCGATGTGTTGAGGTACTACAGTGACCTAGTGTCAGGTACGATCGAACTGCGATGAAAATCGGACATCAATGAAGCCCTTGCTTACCCGTTGCGTCTTGGCCTCCTGCTGCGACTTGTTGTACTGAGTTAGGAGTTTCTGCAGCCGCTTCTCTCGTCTCGGCTCGACATAGACGAGTCCCTCATCCAGCAGCGTGATCGCGACGTCCTCATCCGTGTCCACGCGCAGTAACGTCACGTACTCCAGGTTGCCCACCTGTAACACACACATGTACACTATGTATACACGCACGCACGCACGCACGCACGCACGCACGCACGCACGCACGCACGCACGCACGCACGCACGCACGCACAATACAAAGGTAAACTCGATCAGTTCAAAGTTGTCTGGATTGTCAATAGTAAACACGGCCGTAAATTAAGGCATGTTGGAGAATGTATAGGATGTTGTAAATTAGCTTCAGCTTTGAAGGCATGTCAGAGCGACGCACATTAGAGGCCTGGGGAGAACCCTGATATACATACATATGTATGTGCATACGTGTGCATGCGTGCATCTGTAATATATATAAGTATAAATATAAGTACTGTCCATTCATTACATGTCCGTTATTATCTATCTATGTAGCTGTCATTTTTCTATGTCGGCCATCTTCTACCGAACTGTCACACCTCACATACCTTGTACTCAGTGTTCAGGCAGAACTGGTGGTTGGCTGCATCTTCTGCGAAAGCTTCCCTAGCATCTGCACGGGCATCCGCCTGAGGAAAGTAACCACACGTTACCACAATACACACTCACCCAGGCACAATACTTTTCAGAGACAGAAACAGTCTGCGAAAACTGTGTAAGTCAGAAGCGGGTGAAAAATTCCATTGCTCCATTTCCAATTCAATTTTTCATTTGCTGCACATATACTATTGTCACGTACATGTTATTAGACCAATCGAATGTAAAAAAAAAAACAAGACATTAAAATATTATCGTAGGATAGGTTAGTGCAAAAGAACAATTGGTTATGGGGTGGACTGGTGTGCTTACATCGGCTGGCACGGTGACACATGCGAGGCCATACTCATGCGCTTGCGGCGCCAACGTCTTGTACTGCGCTGGTAACGGTGCTAAGCAGCTTGATGGCACGTTCTCTCTCTGCCAGAAAAACAATCAACAACAGCGATTAGACTAATGCTCCCCCAGAGACAAGACGACCATGCGTAGCACAAATGTTCACACGATAAAAATATACGAAATTGAACTACATGGACAATGGTGAAAACGCAAATAAATGAGAATACAAAATATCCATTATGCTATGTTCAAGATCCACAAAAATCCCTACTCAAATTCCTACCAAAATCTTACGAATAGCTATAGTCAAGTCGCTTTGCCTGATATCTCAAATTGTGTATCTGGAGAGACATCAACGTAGTAGTTAGTTCCTTCTCTCCCCACTGAGAATAAGGCTGGGACACGATGATACCCCATCGTCCAGGTCCATCCCAAGATCACAGGGATAACGTCACCAATAGGAAATAATATAACGTGGCAACCGACACGAAACGATGCAGCGACCGACACACATCGCGCACGTCGCTGTCTCTACGTAATTCATCCATATATGCAAGCACATGTCTCTGGATGGTGATTATACACACTCCATATTCCCTGACATCTGTATAACTAAAGGCCAAAATCTCAATGTAACTACAATATCACAGATACTCATACTCACAGACACAGATTATTATTATCAGTGGTTTCATGCTCACACACGTCGCTCACCGTCCATATCCATCCCAGGATTCCCAGGGATAAAGCCAACCGATAGGAAATAATATAATGCAGCGATCGACACAAAACGACTCACGTTTCCGTAGTCGCTGTAAAAGATGGCCGCCTTGTTTCCGATGACCTTCTCGACGCGGCCGCGGTACCACTCATTGTCGACGCTAAACCTCGCCGCGCACACCTCGCCCTTCTTCGGCTTGTACGCACTCGTTATCGGCGGGTTTTCCTCCATGTCCTTCCTCAGCTGCTCCATGAGCTGCGATAGTTGCGGACCTGCGAAGGAAGATAAGAGAGTGGCGATGAGAAACGTGTGGGTGTGTCTGCGTGCGTATACGTCAACCAGTGAATCCACACACACAGCTGCACGCATGCATGCACGCGCACACACTCGCTCATGCACACAATCAAACACACACATATATACATGCACACGCCCATACGCACATACACACAGACAAACACGCACAGACACACATACACAGACGCATGCACGCACAGACACACACATACACACATGCATGCACACATGCATGCACACATGCATGCACCCACACACGCACCTATGCACGCACGCACACATGTATAAATGCACACGCACGCACACACACACATATATACATGCATACACATACGCACGCACGCATGCACACACGTACATCCACTGTCACACGGCAGGCGCTGTTAACAGACGGCTGAACGTGGCTGAGCTTACCGCTATCGACGTGCTGTGCATAGAAGTGCAGGTCGTCTCCCACGTCCGTGATGCACACCGACTTAAAGTTTAGCTTCCTCTCCAGCTCCTCCTCCAGCGGTTCTTGTATCTCCTCCGCCTCTACGTAATTCGTCCACATCTGCAAGCACATGCCTCTGGATGTTGATTATAAGCGCTCCAGATTCCCTGACATCCGTACGACTAAAGGCCAAAATCTCAATGTGAATACAACATACTCACAAACAAAGATATATTATCACTGGTTGCACACACCACAATCAGAGTGCTCATCAGTTTTTGCCCGTTTTATGCTGAAAAGTGATGATGTACATATCTGAAGACGTGTATGATCATATAATACTGTCCTGTCACATTTGGTGATATCCCACATAACTACACATACCAACACCGTCACTGTTACTGTCATCAGCATTGCTGCTACTTGCCCCCCTACACTGCCCTACCCTAACAACACGTCTTCCACCCATACGATTACACGCGCAGACACCCCCTATGACTACACGTTCAGACACCCCCCCATAACTACACGGCAGACCCCCCCCCCCCCACACACACGACTACACGCGCAGACACCCCCCCATGACATACAGTGCAGACACCCCCCCATGACTACACGTGGCAGACCCCCCCCCACCCACCCCACACACGACTACACGTGGCAGACCCCACCCCCCCACCCATCCACACACGACTACACGTGCAGACACTCCTCCCCCGTCCCCCCCCCCCCCCACCCACGACTACACGTGCAGACCCCCCCCCCATGACTACACGTGCACTCCCCGCCCCCTGGGGGTTTACGCACGTTGAGCTTCTTCTCCTTGGCATTCGTCTCAGCAGTCTGCAGCTGCTTGCCCCCTCCTCCCCTAACACCACCTCCTCCCCCGCTTGGTTTACGCACGTTGAGCTTCTTCTCCTTGGCGTTCGTCTCTGCCGTCTGCAGCTGCTTGAAGTACTGGCTGCGCTCGGCGGTGAAGTGCACGGACGCAAGGCCGTCCTCGACGAGCGACAGCGACAGGTTTACGCCGTCGACGAACATCCAGCCGATGAAGTTGCCGGCCTTGTCCATCGACTCCACCTCGACGTCCACCTGTACGAGAGAGAGAGAGAGCGTGCAGGAGTCGCGGGAGTGTACGAGAGAGAGAGAGAGAGAGAGCGTGCGGGAGTCACGGGAGTGTACGAGAGAGAGAGAGAGAGAGAGCGTGCGGGAGTCACGGGAGTGTACGAGAGAGAGAGAGAGAGAGAGAGAGAGAGAGAGAGAGAGAGAGCGTGCAGGAGTCAGCGGGAGTGTACGAGAGAGAGAGAGAGAGAGAGAGCGTGCGGGAGTCACGGGAGTGTACGAGAGAGAGAGAGAAGAGAGGTGGGGAGTACAGGGAGTGTACGAGAGAGAGAGAGAGAGAGCGTGCGGGAGTCACGGGAGTGTAGAGAGAGAGAGAGAGAGAGCGGCAGAGTCACGGGAAGTGTACGAAGAGAGAGAGAGAGAGCGTGCGGAGTCACGGAGTGTACGAGAGAGAGAGAGAAGAGAGAGAGCGTGCGGGAGTCACGGGAGTGTACGAGAGAGAGAAGAGCGAGAGAGAGCGTGCGGGAGTCACGAGGGTGTACGAGAGAGAGAGAGAGAGAGAGCGTCGGGAGTCCACGGGAGTTGTACGAGAGAGAGAGAGAGAGAGAGACGATGCGCGATCAGCGGATGACGAGAGAGAGAGTGGCGGGAGCAGGGAGTGTACGAGAGAGAGAGAGAGAGAGAGCGAGCGTGCGGGAGTGCACGCGGAGTTGGTACGAAGAGAGAGAGAGTAGAGAGAGAGCAGTGCGCGAGTCACGGGGAGTGTACGCGAGAAGAGAGTTAGAGAGAGAGAGGCGTGCGGGAGTCACGGGGAGTGTACGAGAGAGGAGAGAGAGAGAGAAGGTGCGGGAGTCCACGGGAGTGTCACGAGAGAAGAGAGAAGAGAGAGAGACGTGCGGGAGTCAGCGGAGTGTACGAGAGAGAAGAGAGAGAGACGTGCGGGAGTCACGGGAGTGTACGAGAGAGAGAGAGAGGAGCGTCCAGCAGAGTGTAGAGAGAAGAGAGAAGAGCAGAGAAGAAGAGAGGAGAATAGAGAGAGAGAGAGAGAGAGAGGAGAGAGGAGAGAGAGAGAGAGAGAGAGAGAGAGTCGTACTAGTAACAGGTGTGAGCGGGAGGGGAGTCGCGTGAGCGGATGCACGTCGCGGCAGCAAACAGCCAATGAAGTTGCCGACCTTGTCCATCGACTCCACCTCAACGTCTACCTGTACAAGAGAGTCGTAGAGATAGGAGGCGTCTCGGGAGCAGGCGTGGGTCGCGTGAGTGGACGGTTGTCCCATGACCCAGGAGTAGGTCAGTGTTCACCTGTACTAGAGTTTCAGGCTTCGCATGAGAAGAACAGGAACTAGTGACCCAGGCCGGAGGTGCTACGAGGAAGAGTTGGCTTCCCAGAAGAGATATTTGATGGGGATGATATTAAGAGTCAGGGCAAGACTCGGTGAATGACACTCGCCCAGCGATCGATAGCGCTTAACAGAATTACACATAGATTAGCAGAACGATATGCTTTGCCTTACCAATCAAAAGAATTTTATCACAGAAGCTTCCATTTAGAAGAGCGATGAGTGAGTGAGTGAGTGAATGAGTGAATGAGTGAGTGAGTGAGTGCGTGAATAAGTGTAACAGGAGAGATTCAGTAAGCGAGGGGTAAATGAAAGAGAATCTAGCAGACATGTGAGACAGCGAGACAAAACGCACCCTCCCGCTGCAGCACCATCTCCTTGGTGAACTGCAGGGCTTTCATTTCCGTAGGGCTCAGCTTCAACGGGGGTGCCTCCGCTGGGTGCTGGCCTGGATCCGCGTGGACAGCTGATCCCTGATAAAGCAACGCGACGGACAGTCACACATCCACACAAAATATTCGAATGGGGGAGTCGAGCTTGCACCATGAGGGCAATTATTACAAGCTACACTATACATCACTATATACTATATATATATCACTACTGTTGCGCAATGACAATCTGAATGGTATGGCGATTCACGCCGGAATGGTGACCTACAGAACGTAATGATGATCCAGCCCAACACGATACTAGTGAGCTGCCATCCATGTTTTTACGTGTTTTCCCTGCAGGAACACACCCTCTACAACACACCTGAATGGTGCGACGTGAATCCAAGTCACATAACAATTTAGGCCGCTTCCAGTGATATTACTTATCAATATATATTTATCGATATACTATCAATTACTATATAATAATACTATCAATTTCAATCTTTTCTATCATTTTAATCTATTTCGCTTATCAGTAATAATAGTTTCTCCTTCCGCTGGCAGCAGTACTCACCGGCCAGCAGGAATGTAAAGAGGCAGGTCTTGCGAGGGATAAAGCAGCGACGGATGGCTGAGACCAGCAAGCAGTTACTCACGGCCAGCAGGAATGTAAAGAGGCAGGTCTCGCGAAGGATAAAGCAAGTGGAGACGGTCAGCAACAGGCAGTACTCACGGCGCAGCAGGAATGTAAAGAGGCAGGTCTCGCGAGGGATAAAGCAGTGGAGACGGCAGCACAGCAGTACTCACCGGCCAGCAGGAATGTAAAGAGGCAGGTCTCGCGAGGGATAAAGCAGCGGAGACGGCGAGCGCGCCCGGCGCACAACTCCACGATGGCTTCCGCATCGCTGTCGACCCGCGCTGGCAGAAAGGCAGGAATTGCTTTGCCTTCGACAGATCCTGGGAACAGACAACGAGAGACACATGATTACGTTAAGCCATGTTAAAGCAATTACTCGTTGAAAGTAACGTGACCTTGCATTTCAGAGGCTCAGAAAAGTGGTTGTGGGCCAAAATACAATTTATACAGACGATATTCACACAATGTCATGTTAAATCTACATCTTGTTTATAATTCCATCATTCACCAACGAGTCATTTAACATGGATTGGAGAGGGGAACACTCAAACTGTTGAAATCGCCTCAAGCCTTTCCTCTAACAATCACCTTCAGGCGCTTTTCTAAAAGCATACAAATCAACACAAGAAACGTCCCTGCTAAAAACATCAAATCAATACAAGAACATCACGCTAAAAACATCCAAATCAACACAAGAACATCCTGCTAAAAACATCCAAATCAACACAAGAACATCACGCTAAAAACTTCCAAATCAACACAAGAACATCCCGCTAAAAACATCCAAATCAACACAAGAACATCCCGCTAAAAACATCCAAATCAACAAAAGAGCATCCCGCAACCCTCTACACGTACCCCGGAGATGTCAGCGACACGGTGCAGCGGCACCTCCTTCTTTGGACATGCGCAGACGGCTTGCCGTTCTGATGGCGCGGCTCTCCGCGGCCAGCAGCACGTGTACTGCGACGATCGCTGGTCGTCGTCCTGCCGGTAGCGGATGACCGTGCCAAGCCCCTTGCTGACCAGTGCCTCGCCGACGTTGCTGCAGCGAGAGCGCGCAGGCGCACGTTCGATCAACGCGGGAACGACGTCAACGGGAGAGTGAAGGTAGGAACAACGTACAAACAGAAGGGCAACATATCTAATAAGGAGGTATATATTATCAGGAGTCTATCAATAGGAGTAAGACCGGCACAATTCAACATTTAGTAGCCTTAGTCTACCTATGATTTATTGTGTTTAACTCGATAAACTTGAGCTCAAGTGTTACCTTAATCATTAAACTAATTCCGTGTCTAATCGTTGGTCTCACAAAAATGACAAATCGGGAGATATCGGTTCAAACGTACAATGTGGTTTTAGCAATTTATACCACACTAGCTGCGGGTACCCGCTGCGCTGGGTAAAATCGTGCTACTAATTCATACTACTAATAATGGGACACAATAGGAACATTGGGTAAAAATCCCGCCGTTGAATCGCCCTCTACCGCAGAACAATGCAAACAACTAGCGAGGTTCGCCAGGGATTTCGGAAAGTTAAAAACGACTTGGTGTTATACAATAAATCAGAGGTAGACTAAGGCTACTAAATGTTGAATTTTGTCGGTTTTAGTCTGTCTTACTCCTATTGATAGACTCCTGATGGCATTACTGTCATTCGACATGGCCTATAAATAACACCAAGTCGTTTTTAACTTTCCGAAAATTTCAGTGGAAGGTAATTTAGCTGGCCACAAAGTGTACACAATCACTGCCAACACAATATAATCATATACATCAACCATAATCATATAAACACCTTCCATAATAAAATTTCAGCAGCGGGATCAAGTTATGGGAAACGGAGAAACCTTCTAAGGGTGGTCCAGAATGGATTATTTGCAGCGATTTTGTTCGCTGTACGATTGAATATTAACTATGTGACTACTCACATGCTTCCAATCATCACTGTGCAGCAATTCTTCTCGGGGAATGAATCGGAGGCTGGCTGGATGTAGTCAACGGTGACATTGACCTGAAACATCGATCGTACACACACGTAAACACTTTAACTCTTTACCTTCTTCATCTTCAGTTTTACCTCCCACCACTGAACAGTTTAAAAAGCTCGAGGTGTTTTTACTGGGAGATTCATGGTTAAATTGATGCTACAACTATGCAGGCATGTAACTCCAGAACAAATTGTTAAGTGGAAATACCAACCGGTACTTCTCAAATGGAACAATTTTGTCCACATGATTTCATAAATTGTTTAAGAGGGCAAACTGAAGTCTTTACCTAAAAATTAAAAAACACCCATGATTACCAGCACAATATATTCTACTGTGAATAGCAGCACCACCATTATTGCATTAAGCTTGCCTTTTTCCCAATCAACTTCTTTCGCAGGAATTCCCTAGCCTCAAACATGTAGGGCACATCGTAAAGCGGTCGTACACGAACCCTCCTATTCTCCCCATCTCCTCCTCCTGCATCCGCCTGTTGTCTGTACACAAATAACGCAACCATATGTGACATCACATTACAACATTAAAAATACATCTAACGTTCATATCACCACAATTTCACTTCAGTAAAAAAATTTAATAAAGAAAGTAAAAAAAAAGTGAAATGTGCAAAAGTAATTAAAAGTAAAAAAAAGTAAATGGTACAATCCTATCACGTCTCGCTCAGTTCGCGCGCGATCAGTCATGCACGCGAAACTGTCGACGACCGAAATGACCGACGTCCGCAGCCTTTTGTCGGCAGCGCGATCGCGGCGCCCCCTATGCGAACCTTGGCGGACGAATGCTGGCGAGGAAGACCTTCTTCGACTCGCCGCTGGCCATCTTCAGCACGAGCGCGTCGCCATTCACGACCTCCATGACCTTCGCCGTGAACTCCTTCTCGGATATGTTCACGCCCAGCGTGCTCGGAACGTAGTCCTTCCAGATGCGCGCGCGCCTCTCCTTCGCGCTCCTGCGACACAGAGAGAGAGAGATGAGAGGAGGAGCTTAGATAGGGCTTCGTGTTGACACTGGGAGAGCATCGTACACGATAGTACGGTGGTTGTAGGATCTGACGAAAGAGAGACGCGTGGGAGAGACGTACTTCTCGGCCGCTCTGAGTTTCTCTGGTCCCTGCGTGACAACTCCCATGCTCCAGTCGACACAGCGTGCAAACCCCTCCTTGAGAAGAAGCTCTGTGATGTTGCCATTCTGAAACACGCAGATGCATATTACATCCGAAATGCCTATAGATACATTAGGTCATTATAGTCTCTTAATGTGTTTATATGCTCTCACTGCACATACTCTCGCCCGCTCACTCTCACTTTCCCGCCCTCTCTCGCTCCCACTCCCTCCCCCATTCTCTCTCTCTCTCCCTCTCTCTCTCTCTCTCTCTGCGTGTCTCTTTCTCTTCTCTCTCTCTCTTGCCACTGCTCTGCTCTGCTCGTCTCCAACTCTCTCTCTCTCTATTTCTCGCAATCTCTCGCTATATCTCGCTCTCTCTCTCATCTAACCCTCTCTCCACATGTGAACAGCATCTCTAACAGTCTCACGGCGACAACCGCGTCAACTTGGCGGGCATCGCCCGCTGGCGGTCACCACGGCGACCGCATCCTTCCACTCACCGGATGCAGGATGGTGCCGAGCAGGTTCTGATTGGACACTCCCTCAAGCACGACCTCGACGTTCCTCTTGGCAGTTTAGGCGGCTCTCGACAAAGTACCGCGTCTCCTCGGCGAACGGCTCCGGCACCTGCTTGCCATCTTCCAGCTTGTACATGGGACACTGCAGCGACAATCAGTGGCTAAGGCTACATTCGCGTGACCACCGATCCCACCCCCTGGGACCCCACCATATACTCACGTGGCCAGTTACCTAGCTGTCAAGACCCCTCCATAGACTTGCATTACCACTGATCTGTCATGACCACTTTATATAGTCATGTGACCACTGATCTGTCATAAACCCCTTTATACACTCATGTGACCTCTGACCTGTCAAGACTCCTCATAACACTCGCATGACAGCCTATCTTTCATGACCCTGCCATACATTCGCATGACCCCAGCCCTCACTTGACCCTTGGCCTCTCATTACCCTCCCATTACCAGGCTGTAACCCAACCCCGAAACCCCCGGCATCTCATAACCCTTTTGGCCTCTCATAACTCTGCTATTACCATGCTGTAGCTCCACCCCGAGACCCCCAGCATCCCAAAACCCTGTCACCAATGTGCATTGACTATATTCTCTTCACCCTGACAATGCAATAGTAATGCTTGTCTAGACTGTGACACGCACCTTGACTCCCGACAGCATGATCGTAGCGTAGTGGTTGCTTGGTAGGATGAAGACCCTCATCGTGCACCCGTCCCTGACATACTCAATGACAGCTGTCAAAGAGTAAACATAAAAAAACACGTTGGACGCAGCATGACAAACACAAACACTCGTATCCATCGGTGATTACACTCAGTTACAACCATCAGCAACAGCAGCGACAACCAACAATGTTACTTAAGTGTTGATATAAGATCATGTATGTGCACCCATTCACGGAGCATTTCGCAAACAGAACTGACAACAAGTGCCACGGTTATCTTTCTTACTTGCTGTGGGGCACCAGATACCTGGGATATATCCGTGGGAACAAACAGCTGGGGCTGCCCTACCCAGTATGCTTCCATACCGTTAGTGTAAATCCCATAAACTGTTATACATAACTGGATACGCTTCAATGTGTCATACCTTCCACTGGCTTTCCGTGGTGAGAATCAACAAAGTTGCGTGGGTTGTCCAGCGTCCACTTGATATTTCGCATGTGTTCCGATCCCGTTCCTTCGGCCCACTTGCCCTTTCCAGCTGCCTTTGCTACATCCTCCATCTCAATCAGTTTCGTCTGCTCACTGGACAAACGAAAGCATTGCCGAGGTTTACTTAGTGCAAGGATCGTAGTAATTTTACCAACTGATAAATTGCTTGGTCACTGTGTACATAAATTTGAGGTGGACACAACTGGCCGAGAAATATCCAGCCAGGCCTGGAGATGCGTTTTCAAGGTCTGACAAGCTTGCAGGCACACAAGGAAAATTACATGCAGTAAATCTGTTTAAAGTTTTACTGATTGACAAAAATTAATATGTACTTTAATTATTAGCTCAGCTGACAAAATTAGATGCAGCTTGTAAAATCGCATGAATGTCCGTGCGTGCGTGCGTCCGTCCGTCCGTCAACAGTTATGCCACAAATCTTAACCGCTCGATGTACGGTCTTGATATTTGGGACGTCGGGGAGGATCGCGAAAAGGACTCGGGATGTCGAATTTGGGGTCAAGGGTCAAAGGTCAAGGTGTGTCAATGGAGGGGGAATATTTCCCCCTTAACTTAAGGTAAAGGAGGAAATACGGAATTGCGGCACAAATCTCAACGGCTTGACCTACGCTCCTAATATTCGATGTATAGTGTGATGGAGAGGAAACCCATCACTAGTGCGAAATTGGAGGTCACAGGTCAAAGGGCAGCGGGGAAAAGGTCAGATATCAGACATTTTCTGAGGACATGGTCTAACGGACCAGACCGAGCGGAAAACTTTTTTGTTTCAGCGCTGACCTACCATTTTTATCACTTTATTGAAAGGACCATGAAATGTGCTTTCCGCTGACGTGCGAAGAGTAAGTGTCTGATAACCTTTTGACCCTCAAGAGGAGGGTTAAACATGGATTCCTCAACTGCCTCAATGATGTGAGTGTTGTCATATTCATGGCACATCCATAATCCAGAGAGACATGATACAAGATTGCGTGGCACAGCTT